TGTGGCATGAGTGTTCGCTAATTTTTCGATGCTGTACTACTACAACAACTACTACAACTACTACTACTACGACCTACTACTACACTACTACTACAACTACTACAACTACTACTACTACTACCTACTACTACAACTACACTACAACTACTACTACTTCTACGTCTACTACAACGACACTACTACTACACTACTACTACAACTACTACTACTATCAACTACTACTACTACTACACTACTACTACAACTACTACGACTACGACTACTACTACTACTACTACGATGTCTACTACTACTGGACTACTACGACTACTACTTCTACTAGTTGTACTGCTACTACTACTACTTATAATACTAACAACAATACTAATACTACACTACGACTACACTACTACGACTAGTACGGCTACTACGGCTACTACTACTAGTACTATTACTACTACTACCACTACTACGACTACTCCTACTCCTACTCCTACTACTACGACTACTACTACTACAACTACTACTACTAAAACTGCTACTACGACTACGACCACGACTACTCCTACTACTACTACTACTACATACTAAAACTACTACTGCTACTACTACTACCACTAAATACTACTACAACTACTAACAAACTACAACTACGTCAAACTTCCCTACTGTGTCCTACTAAGACATGAATGGTTCAGGTTGCAGGGTTCTGTTTCGGGTTCGGGTTCGGGTTCGGGTTCGGGTTCGGCTCCACACAATCAATTAAAACCAAATAGAATAACATAGAATAGTCGGAGTTTAATCGTACACGAAGCAGGAGTTCGGAAACCCACAATTTCGCCATTCGCTGGTAGGAAAACAATACAGGGGGCTATAGAGTAATAATACACGAAAATGAGGTTCGGAAACCCACTGATTCTAATAGTACACGAAGAAGGGGTTCGGAAACCCACAATTTCGCCGTTCGCTCGTAAGAAAACAATACAGGGGCTATAGAGCCAATAGTACACGAAGGTGAGGTTCGCAAACCCATTGTGAAAAACGAGAAAACAGCGTTCCTCTTTTCCTGCTCGCTTTCCTCTTCCTCATCCTCCTCCTCCCCCTCCTCCTCCTCCTCCCCCTCCTCTCCCTCCTCCTCATCCTCCTCCTCCTCCTCCTGCCCGTCCCCCACCTCCTCCTCCTCCGCCTCTTCCTCCTCCTCCTCCTCCTCCTCCTCCTCCTCCTCCTCCTGCTCCCCCTCCTCCTCCTCCTCCTCTTCCTCCTCCTCCCCCTCCTCCCCTTCCTCCTGCTGATCACATGAGGAGAAGAAGGAAGAGCAAGAGGAGAAGGAGGAGGAGGACGACGAGGAGGAGGAGGAGGAGAAGAGGGAGGAGGAGAAGGGGTGAGGAGGAAAGGGAGGGAAGGGAAGGAAGGAAGGAGGGAGGGATGGAGGCCGGAAGGGAGGGAGTGAGGGTGGGAGGGAGGGCGAACAGCAAAAAAAGCGTGTGGCGGCATCCGCGTTTTTCGAGAAGCCGTAACATGGGGGAGGGGGAGGACAGGGGGGAAGGAGGAGGCGGATGATGCGGTGAATGCTCATGATGAGGAGGAGGACGATGAGAAGGAGATGGATGATGGGGAAGAGGAGGAGTTGTCAGCTAGCCTAAAGCGTGTGTGGCGGCATCGAGGTTTTTCTGGAGGCGTAGCATTGGGGAGGAAGCGGATAATGATGATGATGATGATGATGATGATGGTGATGATGATGATGCTGATGATGATGATGATGATGGTGGTGGTGATGGCGACGATGATGATGACGACGACTATGGTGGTGATAGTGGTGACGGTGGCGATAATGTTGATGATGGTCATGATGACAAAAATGACGGCAACGATGAAAGTTGAGGTGATGATGCGGTGGATGCTGGTGATGTTGATGGTGATAACAGGGATGCTGATGCCGATAACGATGATCCTCCTCCTCATCATCCTCCTCCTCCCACCCTCCCACTCTTCCTCCTCCTCCTCGAGCCTGCTCGAGCCTCCTCCTCCTCCTCCTCCTCCTCCTCCTCCTCCTCCTCCTCCTCCTCCTCCCTCCCTCCCTCCCTCCCTCCCTCCCTCCCTCCCTCCCTCCCTCCCTCTCCCCGCTTTGCGTTGCAATGCTTTGTGATGCAATGATTCACTGCACAATGCCACGCGATGCTGTGGCATGCTACGCTCTGACGTGCGCTTCTACACCATGCCATGCCGTGCTCTACCATGCATTGCGTACCCTCTCGCGTTCATTGCCCTGCTCGACAGCCGACTGTACGAATAGAGAGGATATATACGTCATGGTAAGGTAGGGAGGGAGGGGCAAGACATCAGATATGACGCGAGCGCACCTAGCTTGTCCCCCCCCTCCCCACTCTTCTCATCCTCCTCCTCCGCCTCCTCTTCTTCCTCCGCCTGCTCCTCCTCTCCTCCTCCTCCCATTCTTCACCATCCTCCCCCACCCCAACCTCCCAATCCTCCTCCTTCTTCTCCCCTCCCCTCCCTCCTCCTCCTACCTCCTCCCCACATCCACTCCTCTTCCTCCTCCTCCTCCTCCTCCTCCTCCTCCTCCACCTCCTCCTCCTCCTCCTCCTCTTCCGTAGCCATTTTGGCTCTAGCCGACTTGTGGCACGGTCTCCCACGGTCCCCGCGGCAGTGGCGTGGCATGGAGGCTGCTCTCGTTGAGGCGGCGGCCAAGGGTGCCGCCGAGGGTGGAGGCAGCCGCCAGGTGGTGGCAGCGGCGGTCGCTGCGGCCTGCAGGTGCGTCATGGCTTCGGCGCAGCCTGCGCATGCCGGAGGCGACGACGTAGCGGAGCTCGCGGTGCGCCTCGCCGCGATGGCTCCGGCGATGCTGCAGCGCATCCGGGGGCAGCGGCCCGACGGGCAGGCGCGCTCGCGCCGAAACGTGGGCGCCCACTGGCACCTGGGCAAGGCCGACCTCCCGATCGAGCTGCTCGAGGAGGCCCTCCTGGACCCGCAGCGCTCGCAGAGGGGGGCGCGCCAGCACGCGCAGTACATGGTCGAGAAGTCCGACGTGAAGGAGGCCCAGCTCGCGATGGCGATCAAGGCCGAGCACGGGGAGGAGGTGCTGGATGGCATCGACAACCCCGTCATGATGAAGGTAAAGGCGGACGGCAACTTCCAGCAGCCAGTCGAGGTGACGCAGCAGGAAGGGGAGCCGATCAAGAAGGACATCGAGTGCGCCTCGAAGGAGGTGCTGAGCAACAAGTTTGAGAAGGTTGTGGATTCCTCGCGTATGGTGGACTCTCCTTGCGTGCTCGAGCTGTCTGAGTACGACTGGTCTGCCAACATGGTGCGCATCACGACGGCGCAGGCACCGAAGGACTCCATGACCGACAATGCCGAGTCGGAGGGCGATCTTCTTGACGGTAAGACCTTCCGCAACCTGCCGAACCCCATGGGCTCGGGCAGGGACAAGGTGCGGAGCGGCGGCAAGGCCAAGAGCAAGGGCCACCCCTCGTGACTGCCCCGCCGCCGCCCGCCGCGGCTGCAGCTACAGAGGCTGCAGTCATCGGCGCTAGCCACGTCAGAGGGCTATCGCTACTGCCCGCGAGCAAAAAAAATCCTCCTCCTCCTCCTCCTCCTCCTCCTCCTCCTCCTCCTCCTCCTCCTCCTCCTCCTCCTCCTCCTCCTCCTCCCCTCCTCCTCCTCCTCCTCCCTCCTCCTCCTCCTCCTCCTCCTCCTCCTCCTCCTCCTCCTCCTCCTCCTCCTCCTCCTCCTCTTCCTCCTCTTCCTCTCTTCTCTCAACGCACCCAGTACACGGGTGCCTACTGGAACGCGTGCCAGGAGCCTTTTTTGGAAGCATTGTGACAGTCTCTGGAGCCTGTCCGGGCCTTCCTTTGGAGTCATTTGGGGACTTTGTTGGCCCGTCTGAGGGCCCATTTCGGCAATTCCGGGTCCCGCTTGGCTCGTAGTGGGGAGCTCAGCCCATCTTGGGGCCCTCCTGGAGCCCGAGCATGTAGGAATCCTCCGGGGGCCCCTCGGGCTTCCTAGGGGCTCTCTTGGGCCGTCTTGTAGCTGTTTTGTGCCGCTCGAAGCTCTCTTCAGCCAGTCTTGGAACCCTCCTTGGGGCCTCTGAGGCCGTCTGGGGCCCATTTGGAAACCTCTTGGGCCGTCGCGACCGCTGGTAAAACTGAAAAGCGAAGCTCCCAGAAATAAACGTTATTCCATAGGAAATGCTTGGTTGTATGCCTTTGAAGGGCCCTCTCGGCGGCCTCTTGGACCGTCTTGAATGCCTTTGTGGCCGTCTAGGAGCAGTCTTGGGCTGTCTTCGAGCGCTCGTGGCCCATCTCGGTGCGCTCTTCAGCCACCTTCCAGACAACCTGGGGCGCTTCGACCGCCTCTTGGGCCAGCTTGGGAGCCTCTGGGGGGGTCCAGGGTCCCTTCTGAACCCTCTTGGAGCCCTCGAGGCCCCCCCCCAGCCCCCCATGCGAACCAGTGGTCGCAGTTTTGGGCCCTCCCCCTACCTACTCCCGGGGGCCTCCTGGGGGCCTCTTGGGAGCCTCCTCGGGGTCTCTTGGGGGCCTCTTGGGGGCCTCTTAGGGCCTCCTGGGGACCTTTTGGGGCCTCCTGGGAGCCTCTGGGGCCGAAAGCTCGGAATTTGAATATGGTTCTGCACCTCTTGGACCCCTCTGAGGTTCATCCTGGGGCTCTCTTGGGCTGTCTTGGCGGCCTCTCGGGCCGTCGTGGGGCCCTCTTGCAGAAACAACGGTCCACCCTGCACTGTAGTCATCACAGTGTTCACCTTATGCGACAGAACCGCCATGCACTCCTAAACCTGGTGACTCATGACCAGGCCATGGTTGGCACGCAGCTCGCACTGATGAGCGACACCGGTCATCAAGCACAGGCAAGCAGCGCAGCAAGGGAAGGCACAACTCGAAACAAAGGAGGAGGGAAGCGAGACGAAGAGCGAGGGGGACTGTGTGCGGGGGGCGCGGGCCCCGGCGCTCCCGCGCGGGACGCTCTCCGCGGCGCCCCGCGGCGCGGCCTCAGATCCTCTCGCGCTGCAGCCTGGGCGGGGCCGGATCGCACGCGGCCACGCCGGTGACAATAGCCGGGTGGCCGGCGAGGGTCCTCTCGCAGGTGCCCGCCGCGAGGTCCCAGACATTGAGGGTCTTGTCCTCGGACCCGGACACCGCGCGCCCGGGCCCCGCGAGGGCCACGCACAAGACAGTATCCTGGTGGCCGGCGAGGCCGCTGCAAGCAGCGGCCCGGTGCGCACGAGCTCAAGACTTTCCTGGATCTCCCCAAGTTTCGTCCCAAACAACTGTTTCAAGATCTTGCCAACGTCTGTACCCTCCGTCAAGCTCACCATGGCGTTGCAGATGCAGCGACCAAGGAGCTCGACCGGGAAGGACAGGGAGAGCCTTAGGCTGGTTCCCTCCAGGAGCCTCGACACCTGGCCGACGGCCCCGTTGATATTGTCCAATCGCGCCGGGGGAATCGCATCCCAGTGGGGGATCTCCTCGGCGCCCATGCCCGCGACGTGGTCTGCTGCGAGGTCCGCGACCGAGGCCGACCCGCGCCCGCAGCAGACGCACCAGTTGACGCACCTGCGCACCGACTGCATGGCGGGATGTACGGCGCTGGGATGCAAGGCCAGAAGGGCCAGAAGAAAGATATGATGCGCGGAACCGCCTGGGCCAAGTCTTGAGCCAAAATGGCTACGGAAGCGAACTGTGCCTCTTGGGGCCCTCCCTGGGGCCTCCTGGGGGCCTCTTGGGAGCCTCCTAAGGGTCTCTTGGGGGCCTCTTGGGGCCTCTTAGGGGCCTCTTGGGGCCACCTGGGGACCTCTTGGGGCCTCCTGGGAGCCTCTGGTGCCGAAAGCTCGGAATCCCACCAGCCCTCTGGGCGTCGGTGGTTTAACGAGTTTCCTCTTCCACCCCTCCCTCTTCCCCTTCGGGGAGGGGTTTACCCCTCCCCACACCCCCTCCCCACTGACCTGGACAGGGGGTTCCGCGGCGCGTTGGAGCGCCCAAGATGGCCCAAGACGGCTCCAAGAGGGCCTCAGGGAGCTCAAGATGACCTCCAAGATGGCTCAAGATAGCGCAAGATGCCTCAAGATGGTCCCCATGATGTTCCAAGACGCTCCAAGAACTCCCCAAGACGGTTCCAAGTGCCCACAAGAGCATCATTAGGATGCATCCAAGAGGCCCAAATGCTTCAAAACCCTACGGAAAATAAATGTTTTTGGTGTTCTCACTGTTTCGCTTGCGATGCACATCCGACGCGTCAAGATGGCTCCAAGATGGCTCCAAGAGCGGCCACGAGCGCTCCAAGAGCGATCCAAGAGGGGTCCAGGAGACGAATTTTGGAGTTCCTGGGGGGGGGCTCTAATTAAGGAACCCTACTTCCTTGACCGATGTCCTCCAAAAGGCCGCAGGATGGCCCCAAGATGGCCCCAAGAGGCCCCCCGCCGCCAAGAGACCCCCAAGAGGCCCCAAGAGACCCCCCAGAGGCACCCAAGGGGCAAAGATGGCCCCAAGAAGCGCCCAGGAGGCCCCCAAAGGCCCCAAGATGGCCCCAAGAGGCCCCAAGAGGCCCCCAGGAGGCCCCAAAGAGGATCCCGAACGGCCCACAGAGGCCCCCCCGAGGCACCCAAGACGCCGAAAAGCCCCTCAGGACGACCCTCTACTCGCCTGGGCGTCGTTTCTGGACGGGCTGGTGGGGATACGCGAAGCGTCTAGAATTTGAATCTGGTTGTGCACCTCTGGGACCCCTCTGGGGCTCGTCCTGGTTTGTGTATATGTATATATATATATATATATATATATATATATATATATATATATACGCGATAAATATACGTTTCCCTAAAGGAATGGAACACATGCTGCCTCCTGGACCCCTCCTGGGGGCCTCCTGGGAGCCTCTTGGGAACCTCTTGGGAACCTCCTGAGAGTCTCTTGGGGGCCTCCGGGGGGCCTCTTGGGGCCTCCTGGGGACCTCGTGGGGCCTCCTGGGAGCCTCTGGGGCCGAAAACTCAGAATTTGAATATGGTTCTGCACCTCTGCGACCCCTCTGGGGCTCGTCCTGGGGCTTTCTTGGGCTGTCTTGGGGGCCTCTCGGGCCGTCTTGGCACCCTCTTGGGGTCGTCTTGGAGCCTTCTTGGGAGCTTGTGGTGCAGTCTTGGGGGTCTCTTGGGCCGTTTTGGACGCTGTGAAAGCCAAAGAGGT